GTTTATAATATGGAGTAAGATCGTACTAATATTATAAATGCGAAAGTTTAGATGTTTGTTAGAGTTTGTAGCCTAAACTGCTGAACGGATTTCGATGAAATTTGGCCTCTATATAGAGGATAGTCTGGAAGAACGCACAGGCTACTTGCATTTGTTTTATTAATTCCGCGCGGACGGAGTCGCAGGCGAAAGCTAGTAATATTATAAAGTATGTTCTACTTACGATATGAATGATCCCCCGTAAAGTAGTCGTCATTGTCATCTTGACTTTCTTCATTGATAATTTTATCATCTTGCTCCATATCCTCTAGGAATAATTCCTGGTCATCATCATCATTCATGTCTTTTATGTCAATATTGCTACAATCACAAAATAACTATTTACACTATATTTACTAGCAACCACACTAACTTCCCTCAAGCACTTGGCCAGTTGACAGCCAGACATAAATTGTATGGACTCATACCAGTAAGAGTTTACACTGTGACAGTTGAACAGTCCAGTTGTGAGCACCAATTGTACTGGCAGTGTAAACCGTGCATTAGTAAAAATGAAGCAAAAATACTTATTACCTAAAAAGTAGCCTATATGATCTTTGGACTGTGTTATACATCTAAGCTAAAAATAAACTCTATTAACGCTGGATATATGTAGTAAAAAAAAATCATCCAAGTAAACTTTCACACTTTTTAAATAAAAATATAAGTAATTTTTGTTGATTTACTAATATTTCCTTTATCCATTTCAACTAAGCTCCAAGAATGGCGGGAGTTGAACCCTCGATCGCAAGATCATTAACAAAGAGTAAGTAAGGTAACAGAGGTGGCAGTTTACCTATTAAGCTAGTTTTGTATAGAAATGTCACTTCACAGACAACAAATTATTTTTACTTTGTAATTATTGACATTACTAATTGATCGTCATAATAATATAGCCCTTTTATTCTGAAATTATCCAAATAACTAGAATTGAGAATGCATAGTTTGTCATGTCTAATTTTGATCCTCATATACCTAAGTACTCCAAAATCTCCAAAATCATTGTATTGTGTGCCATTGTTTGGCCATTCTAAACTATTAAAAGTATTATCATTTTAAAGTGTTAGCTTTTTAACTATTTTTGACCGACATCCCAACAGAAGGAGGTACTCAATTCATCTGAATATTTTTTTTTGCTATTTATCAATACATTTATCTTTATTTAAAACAACAATATTGATACGAAAATATTAGAAAACGAAAGGAATAGTGGGGGGGGGGTAGTAGGTGAAGAATCAAAGATAAAATGTCTTACATTTTGTCCTCCGCCACATAATTGTCTATGCTGCTTGTTTCAAGATAAATCTCGTTCATTGGATTCTTTTCATCATCATCGGTTTCGTTTTTTGGATTCACATATGCGGCATGTTGTAAATTCTGAAATAAACCACACTTTATTATCTTTCTGAACACAATATTTTTATTTATTTATTTATTTATTTATTTATTTATATATTTTAATACATAATAATATGAAAGTGTCCAAGTGTCCAATAAGAACTGCTTAATACACATTTAATTCAATTCACATTATTTGTTAGTAAACTATTACATTTTATGTTAAGTGTAATTATTATAATAAAATTAAAATAAATACATGGATTTTTTTTTTAGTAAATGTTATTGAATTTCCTCATAAATAGATTGGAAATAATATAGCCTACTCATTTACTTTGTCCATGCAAAAAAAAAAGTAATTGATACAGCCCTTGTTATTATGAAATACTTTGTCAATGGTTGACGATTGTTTAGAAACCAGCTTAGTAGTCATATTAAAGTTATTCAAATAAATTCAAAAATACAAATCTTTTCGATTAAGAAAATAAGTTTGTATTACCATATCTTCTAAGCCCTTGATGTGCAGTTCTTTACCCGCTTCTACTAATTCCTTCAAATTGTCTGTAGATACTATTACTTCTCCAGTATAAACATATTCTAGTATCAAGCACAGTGTTGCATGTGATATTTTCTGAAATTATTACACAATTTAAATATATTTGAAGTAATTGTCATGAGTCAAAAAGGTAATTAATCATGTATTTTATTCAATACTAGCTTTCGCCCGGGATCCATACGCATGGAACTAAAAAAAAAGAAAGTGAGTAGCCTATGTGTTCTTCCAGACTATCCTCTACATTTGTACCAAATTTCATCGGAATCCGTTTCACAAACTCTATTCTCTGGCTCTCTGGCTACAAACTCTAACCATCCATCCATCTAAACATCTTAACTTTCGCATTAATAATATTAGTTTGAAGTATGATAAATGGATTTTCCATAATAATAAATATATATAAGACCAAAATTATTTTTTATAGATGATTGCTTTGAAAAGTAACTCTACATTTAATAAATCGTATATTTATCGTATTTAGTGACACTGACTATTTGGATTTGGTTATGGTTTAAAGAAAATGTAATTAACTTACATTTAAAAATATAACGGGATGTTGACAATTTGCTGAGGCAACTAGATCTTTAAGATAAGGGCTTGCTATGGCTATTATAACTTGGTGGACCTTCACAAAGTGCCCATCAGCCGCTAAAGTCATATCAACAAACTCGCCATTCTGAAAGTAAATGTTTGAGAGCATAATGTCTTTTAATTATAGTTTCTATAGTGGATATACAACACATATAATTTAAATACATTGTTATATACTTATAAAAATAATAAATCGGAAATTTAAACATACTTGTTGTAAACAACTTAAAGCCGAACAGATATTCTTTTCGTGCAGTTGCGATGAAACGACGAACTGAGCATTATTAGCCATTACTTGTGTTAATTCTTAAAATATATCCAATATCCAGGAAGTGTTAAATGTATTTTTAACCAAACAAAATAGTTATTTATCTTATTTATAAACCAATAAACTTGACATTTGACAGTTATGTCAAACACTTTTTTTTTATCGTGTCACTTTTTACGGCTTTCGATTCGTGCCGATTTGAGCCAAAACCATAGACAACGAACATAACTAAGAAATCTACGATTGCCAGTGTTTATCCTGCAGTCAGTAAATCATCAATCTTACGTAAAACAATATTAAAAATATTATGAAACGATATTTGCATGAGACAAATATCTTTTCAGACTGTTCTAGCCAGAATATAGCCATATTCAGTTTATTAATTATTTACCGAGATGTCTTATATTATTTCTAAAATAACAAATGTATTTAACTAATAAAATCATTTATTTTATAGATACACCTTTTTGTGTCAATGTGTTATCTTCATATGTCTCAAGAACGTCTGCCAAATGTTCATTATCTCTTGGTTTCTTAAACTGTCTTCTCTTTTGTGAGGCCTTCTTTCTTTTAGGTGCTATTGGTTTTCTAGGTCCATGGTCTTGCATAGATTTAATACCCTGTTTTTCTAAATATTCTTCGATTTTTGCGTCATCCATCGCATCAACAGCAGTGGCACGCCATAATTTAACGAATTCTTCATCCACCTTAAAAAACAATCATATTTTGAATTTTATAACATAAATTATTAAACAAAAAATTGAAACCAATCAGCTTACATCTAATTTGGCTGTTTTATCATTATAAAACAATATTTTCTTTTTATCTGTGGGCCTAGTGATGTACAGTATTTCTTGTGCTAAATGTTTAAGAGCTCTGTCACAATGTGGTAATGACTCTTGTACATCTTCCAATAAAATACCCCCTAGTCCTTTTAAATCGTGTTGCTTTAATAACCTGCGAAAGAATAATACAAAATAATGTATTTCATAAAAAGTCTGTTTAAGGTCATTATGCAAAATCATTTTACATTTAAATATTACCTGAGCAATGATTTTTTGTCTTTTATTTTGTACACAGCTTTAAAAATATACTTTCCATCAGGTGTGCATTCTATTTTTGGATTATTCTGTAGTGCTTCTGTTTGCAGCCACTGTAAAAAGTTACAACTAGTCAATTTAATGATAATATTGGATAGAAGAATTGACTATAGCAGAACTTTAATCTGTTTCTATTTTTCTAAAATACAAACCTGTTTAACTTTATTACCAACATCCAGTTGATTGGTTTCATCGAGTACTTCATCTAGTGTCAAAGGATGGTCATCACCATCTTGATGTCTGGCTCTCATATGTCTTACAATACGGGCAAGCACTCCAAAACGGTAAGAAGAGCTGCCCGTCATTGTTTTATAGCTAAAAACGTTTAAGCATTATTAATAGCTAGCAGTTCCTCAAAGTTCATCTGAATTACATTATTAAGACTTTATTTTAGTGTTTTTATTCCATAAAATGTTCAATTGCAAATGTCAAATTTTAAATGCTCCAATGACAAACCCCATGCTATTGTCATAAAATTAAATTTGCTTCTATTGGCTTGTAGTTTAAACACAACTCATCCACCCCTAAGTTTTATAATATAAAACATATCTTAAAGTGTGTTGTAGGGCTTTAATAAGAAAAAAATGATATTCAAAATTGTGCTGTTTGATGATATCCTACAAAACAAAGATGTGTGTGTTTATTCTAAATTTGGCCTTTCAATAAGTCTGCCAAGCAAGGCACTGGTTAACTTTAAAAAAACATTATAGTTTTATACTTTGAAGTGTAATATAGCCAGACACAATTTACTTATTAACTATTTGGTAGATAAAAATATACTCACTTCGTAGCATCAATCTTAGGTTGTGCATTAGCAGAGCTGGATGATTTTGATTTGGATTTCTTTGACTCATCTTTGAACTGGGTGTCATCTCTTTTCTTCTTTTCTATACTGTGAAAATGTTTATAATTAAAATAAACTCAATACCCTCTTATTCAATAAAGAACATCTCAATAGTAATGAAAAACAGATCTATATTCCTATCAATAAGGTTTTAATATTATTGCGAGCGAATACTTCTTAATTCAAATGTCAATGTCAGTTGAAAGTAATTGATGACAAATAAACACAATAGCAAAGGATGAATTATCTAATTTTAACTTTTATTAGATAATTCCTTAAGGTTTCCGTTTTAAGATGAATAATTGACAATAAAACATTGTAACGAGTGGGAGCGAGAGAAAAGTGAAAGTGGCAGTCGTCGTAAGCGGACAAAATAACGCTAGTAGTCGATTAGTAAGGTTGTAGCGTACCTTGGCGTAGCGAGTGCTTTTTTCTTAAACGCCTCCCTTTCGCGCAATAGTGCAGGATCCATATTTAATCAATAATAGGCCCAGTATACCATAAAAGTAAGTAATTTATAATAAACTTATACCTTATTTAGATTGTAAGCAATCAATCATTTGTCTTTGGCAATTGAATTGAAAGATTTGTCAAATTGACAAACAGGAATATTGTCAGCTTGACATACGTCATTTTTACTTTATTCTTAATTTTATAGTTTACTATCTTGGTATTTGGCCGTTATACTTTTTTTCATTTTCAATATCCCAAATGAATCCGTAAACCAAGGTACTGGTGCTATTTTTAGCAAGTAATAATGATAATTCAAATTGTAGATCAAATTAACCTAAACAGCATCTACTATTAGGTTTTGGAAAATTCCTTCTCTAATTCTATAGTCGAAGAAGCGGTGGTATGCGGCTAGGCTCAAACCTCAAACCCAAGATTTCTATATAACAACTCCGCTGTTTAATTACTTGGCTATAATACTGCGCAATTCGCAACTAATGTTAAAAACAATATCTTAAAATATATATGCGGTTATTACAAAAAGAAGGTCCTTTTCGTCTGGAACCTTTGTCCTTTTAATGTCCTAGAATGACTCTTTGTCCTCTGTTGTCTTTTATACCTATACTCGACTCGTCTCATTTTTGTTTATTATTGTCTTATGTTTTTTCTAAATTAATGTCGCTATATTTTTGCCAGGTAGTTAATCCATTTCTTGATCTATAAGCCTTATCGTTGAAATAAAATTCATTTTAGTAAATACCTTCATTGATCCAAAAAAATAAACCATAAATGAATACAAAACCATTTTAATAGCCATCCAGAGTAATTTAGTAATTATGTTAATGTTTTAATTTATTACGAGTTTAAAGATACAATAATATTTGGGCAATATTTAAATGTTAATTCTTAGCGGACGGTTACTCTCAAACAAGTTTCGATTGGCGGGAGATCGTTTCGCGCGTCCGGACCAAGTTCGAACGAACTGTCACAGTGTTTGCCTTCACGGCGTCGAGTGGACGCTGTAACCTTCGATGTAAGTACTTTTCCTCGTATTGTTGTGAACACGTTTTGAAATATACCTTTTTCCTCTGCGTAGTTCCAATCAAGAATATCTCTTTTTAATTTACCAATAGTAAAAGTTTAAACGATTTAGAATACAGAGAAAAATATTTTTATACATTTTCTTTCATTATTTATTTTGTCACTAGATAATTTTATCTATGTAACAATTACTAAAAACATAATTCCAGAAAGCCGTAGTCAAGTAATAAAAAGTAAAGTAAAGAAATAAAAGTCGGAAATACATTTACGAATGACTTATAGTTACTTTATCGGTTTTATCGATGCTAAACGAAAATGATATCCGCAAGTAATCGGATTTATTTTTCGGATGTATAGCGGTTATTGAGGATGTAGTATTTATTACACTACAGATGCTATCGTTTACTTCGCACTTTATATCTGTCAATATCCGATAAAAAACAAATGTGTAATGTTTTGCAGTTTGTATGTAAATATGTAAACATTATGATTTATTATAGCAAAAGTTCCATTACTGTTTTTGAGGCATCTTAGTAATATTTTTTTTACTTTATTTACTCAAATGCATGTAAAATGATACTGTCTGTTTATCCATCGCTACTACTGACGTGTGGATGATCCCAAGGGTTCTCGCGGAATATGCGCTGGGTACTTCAATCAGAAACATCCAGCATTTATAGCTGAGCGAGGACCCAATCCGCTCAGCATTGCAATACACATTTCAAATACTTCGTTTTTTATTACTTAAATACTTTGTTTTTTTTTCCTAATTCCTAATTGTGTTGTAGTGTTGATAAGATAAAATGTTACTTTGTTTTTTATTTTTCATTTTATTTATAATAGTAATAACAATTAAATAGCATGTTTGTAACAATATTGTAAACTCTTTGTTGCTCGCCACCTCGTCCGCGTGAAATTTAAAAATAACCAAAACATATAGCCTCTGTTACAGTTACCTTTGTAACGGTGAAGGAATTTTTAAAATCACTTCAATAGTTTTTGAGTTATACCAATACATACAAAAAAAATCCCTCTTTATATTAGTATAGATAACAAAGAAAAAATATAATAAAAAAATAATCAAAAACCCTATTTCCGTTATCTAGGATATTTGTTTGCGTATGTAATGTAGGGAAACCGACTTCATCAAACATAAAATATCACAATCACTTATCAAACTTATTGATTTGCCAACCGACTAGTTTAACGTTATCAAATTATTTCCGTAGATAAAACAATTGGTGGCTAACACGAAAATTTGCGAGAAATATTCGTATCGATATCGAAACAAAATGATATTTGTATCGGCCGTAAAGTACACCGAATCTCATACAAAGTGGACAACGGAATTTTTAGTACTTTCTCGTGTTACGGCCATATATTGAAATTTATATTTACAAAATTTCGGATTTCAAATGAAATAGGTAAAAAAAAGTCACGTTTAAGATCTAGTTCAAATCTAGTCTACAATTTGCGTTATTGTATCTAAGATTCTATACTCTTTAAATTAAAATGGATCTAACACAAGAGATAATAAGTCTAAGTAAATCATCTATTATTAAGGAGGTTTTGTAAGCGTTTTTTACTCCTTTCTTATGAAGGCTCCGCTGTTCTAATATTAAAGGTGCCTTGAAACAAGACGTATAAATTTAACCTGAGCTTGTCCGTTTTTACGAGATACACCTATCTAATGTAATCTCTTTGGGCGAATAAAATAAATATATAAGGTTTTGAAAAGGTCAGAGGTGGACGAAAACGATTTGGGTTAGATGTAGGATTTTAAATTTGTTCTAAAAATTGATGACCTTCTTGTATTTGAAATTTTACCTTATACTAATGTAACCGATTGAAAACAAACTAAGTATGTATTAAAATATTTGCGAATTGATATATTTCTTCAAGATGTTCTTGTTTATAATATAGTAGATGTTCCCGTGCGACTTCATCCGCATGAAATTATAAAAAAAATATTTTATTATTTAAATTTGTCAAATTATCAGTTGCAAATGTCAAAATGACATGGGATGACCACGAACCATGGCAATCTTATATCTTTGATGTTGGCAACTTGTAGCTTATGGTCCATTTCCCACATCAGGGTTTTTGTCCAATTTATTAACCCCTAAGTTAAATAGCGTAAAAATATATAGCCCAAACCGTGACGTAAGTGTAGGGCTTTTTATTGAAAAAAGAATTATTTAAAAATATGCTGTGATTGCTGATATCTTACGTCACAAAGTAGTGTGTGTTTACGCTTTATTATATTAGTATAGATTTGACTGATTAGTTGTGTTTTAATATATTTTTATATGGAACAATAGAAAACTGTTACGTACACTAATGCGCTGAAAAAGCATATTATGCCAAAACTGTACGTAATTTGTAAATTTTCTATAAAAGTCCGTCAAATTATTAATCTTTTTTCATATATTTTGACTAATAAGTGTATTTTGATCAAAAGTTTAATCGTTCACTTTTATCCCAGTACGTAAAATAACATTGAAAGGAAATAGCGACTTGAAACGAATAAATGTAACGTTTTTCAACATTCACATTTATTTAGAGTAATAACTGCGGTGTAGAAAGATAGAAAAAAAAAGAAAAAATGTGTGCATTACATATCTGAGACTTGAAACTTTTCTGTACTCCGCAAGTTTTCTATGCCCGGTTGGTAGCTATTGTTCCTAGGAAAACAGACCGCGTTTAGAGAAACGACTGGCTGCAACTACAAAATAAGTATAACGACAGTACGTTGAGAGTATATATAAATAATCAAGCGCTATAACCTAATGGTTAAGAGTATGGATTACCGGTTATTGTATTTAATATCCGTTTTTCGGCATTTTGGCGTTGGTTGCGGTTGATCGCGGTAAAGAATTTTTGAGAGTGTAAACCATACAAAGAGATTCGAAAATATAGAGGAAGCATAGTTTACACTTCACTTGAGACATTTTTCACATAATCCACTAACGCTATCTATTTATGGACATGTCAATGTAATTAATTGTATTGAAATTAATTGTCTATATTGCCTGTGACACTGTTTCATCATCATAAACTTGCATCTCCCTTACGGAGGGTCGGCACACTATGTCCAGCTCTTCCATACATTTCTATCAGCCGTCATAAGATGGAGCTTATTACAATTTTGTAAAAATGTACTAAAGGCAACTAACATAACATAGTACCTTTCAAAGAAGTTACCGGTAAAAAATGTTGTTCCCTGTGTCTACTCTAGTCTATATGTTTCTTAAATGTTTTAACCATAGTACTCCAATATCTGTTGTCTCAGGATCAGGACGACATTAATTGTTTATTTTTTTCTCAATGACATTGACACACAAAGAAAAAAGTCACGTCGACACCTTTATTTGGCCTACGTTGACCTATCAAGGTTCTGAGATTATCGATATTGTAATGGATTGGTATGGTCTCATTAAGATGCGACTTACTACATTTTATTACAATGCATACAACAGTATTAACACACATATTATAATCTATGTAGACAATGTCGTTAGTAATGACTAAATTAGCATAATGTAAATGTCAGAATAGACTTAATTATAAATCAACCACTTAGTATACATGTAATAAGTAAATGCCTATTTAAATCTTGCTCTATTACCTCTTTCTTTACAGTCTGTACAATGTCACATCTATTTTCAAGCAGTCTCTATTCTAGACATATCAGCCTTCCTACTGCAGTCATAAAACTTGCTTTACCCTGCGACATTATCCGCGTGAAATTAAAAAAACTTAGTAAGTAGTATGTGCGTCCTTCCAGATTATGTTCTACGTTGGTGCTTAATGTTATCACGACCCATATTTTTTGGGTAATAAGAAGCATACATCTAAACATTCGCATTTATAATATTACTAAGTATAAAGTCATAGATACAATGTCATCTTCTCACTTCTTAAGCTTGGAATATATTATTAGGATTTGTTTAGCCAATATACTATGTCAATCATAAGTTAGATTTCTTTAATCTATACTATTATAATAAAGCGTAAAGCGTAAACATACACTTCTTTGTTGCCTAAGATGTCAGCAATTACAGCATATCTTTGAATAATTCTTTTTTTAATAAAAAGGTAAATAATTTGGATAAAAACCCTAACGTGGGAAAGAGACCATAAGTTGCTGCCAACATCAAGGAAGCAAGGTTGTCGTCATGTCATGTTATTTTGACATTTGTAATTCGTAATTTGAAAAATGTAAACAATGAAATAAAAGTTTCGTAATTCCATGCGGATGAAGTCGCACAGGAACAGCTAGTAATGTGATATTTTTGTTTCAGATTGTTACAGCCATGGGGATTCGTAAACGGCAGTTATTAAACGTCTTCTGTTTTTTAATAATAATAGGATAGTAAGTTGTTTATCGTAATTAAATATAACTTTTAACACGGCGGACACGTAACTTAATAATTTCTGTACAAATAACACGTAATAATTTCTCTTGTATTTCGGATGTCGATGGGAATCGTTGATCATCCTGGTTTTCCCGCCTCGTTTGTCCTCTTCTCTCAATAAAACTAAAACAAAGTTTAAAACAAAAATCATACTAATATTATAAATATGAAAGTTTAGATGGATGGATGGATGTTTGTTAGAGTTTGTAGCCTAAACTGCTGAACGGATCTCAATGAAATTAGGCATAAATGTAGAGTATAGTCAGGCTGAACACATATGCTACTTGGTTTTGTTTACCACGCGGTTGGAGTCGCGGGCGAAAGCTAGTACATTCAAAGACAAAAAATCCAAGAACTGTTACACGTAAGTATTTCTATGAATCGTACAAAACAAAGCGAAATTATGTTTCGCTCACGCAATCGTGAAACTAAAGATCGTATGTAATATAAAACATTACAATAAGTAGAAATGTTTACAACATTCTATTGTTTGTTTACATTCTGTTCATGTTTGTATCAATTTGAAACTTCCTGAAAACAAGACATTCCTTAAAAGTTTTTCCAAAATTATTAATAAACGCTTTAAAAAAATCAAATATTAAAATCTGCAAATCATTTTGTATTCAACAAAAAGTTTTAAGACAGAGGAAACTTAGTTATATTCTATTCTACTCTTGTTTATGGTTCTCCCTCAGCGGATTAGGCCAATGTGTTTATGGTTTTATTATAATTTGTGAGAGACTGGCAACATTACTCCTTGCTCTGCTTAAGATGATTCGTGGGTGTGAAACGGTATGAAGATTTTAAACTTGAATTAACTAATCTTGTTGATATACCTCAAAAAGGACAGGCACGAAACATTTATATATTGTTAGTAGATTATAAGACGTACAACATATAATATAAAATTGGGGTTAATGTAGTCAGATAGTATATACAAAAGGTACTATTCTGACTATTGTTGAACACCAGGCGGTATCAATTAACTATTGATCTATGCAGCAGATTCTGATGACATTTGACGTTGATATGTGCAGATTCGTACTATGGAACTGCGTCCTATGATTTATTACTGTATGCATTTGTTACACTAAAAATAGATATCCTAGCATGAGTTTTTTTTTTCAAAAATATAGAAAACATTCCAAAATATTAAAGAAAGACACAATAAAGTGTTTCAATGCCATGTGAATAAACATTTAAGATTTTCTGTAACAAAACTTTATTAAATTTATAGAAATATTTCTTAACTAAATTTCGCCCGCGACTCCGTCCGCGTGAAATAAAAAAAAACAAAAGCGAGCCTGTGTTCCTCCAGACTATGCTATGCTTTGTCAAATTTCGTCGTGATCCGTTCAGCACTTTAGGCTACAAACTCTAACAAACATCCATCCATCTAAACTTTCGTATTAATAATATTAGTAAGATTTACATCTTATAAAGAGTGTGAATTGATTTCTTTTAAAATGCACTAATAGCTAACGATATAGTTTTACATACATTAACCCCATTTGTATAATTCCAGTGTCCACACAGAAGATGAAAAGTCTCCATGGAAGTGGGAATGTGAGAACAGCAAGTGTGTGAAATCTCTCAATGATCCTGAGAGTAAAGAGCCCGCTCTCAGTTTAGAGGCTTGCAAGATGTTCTGCAATGAATATGGTAAACTCTTAGAACCTCGAGCAGATAATTCGTTTTACAGATTTTTTTTTTCATAAGGTAGCAAATAAACAGCCGGCTATCTTCATTCACTGAAATAGTGAAGTGACTTAGACATGTATATAGATGCGTTGTCTTCGTTTTATCGACAGAGGACACACATAACGAGCATATTTCCTCTTAATATGCGTCCCCTGTTTTTTTTTTAAAAAAGGGTGCAAAAGATCAGAGGATCACAAATCGCTATTTAACTATAAGTAAATGTATAAAATAAAGGAATGAAAGGAAAGGATTTTAGATAAATTTGACAATTTTTCATATACTTTTATAAACCGTGTAATTAGTGTGGTATGTGTTAATTTGATCTTTATTTTTTAATTATACTTTGCTCGTAGGTCTCCTATGGCCGCAGCCCACCGGCGAGACGAATCTAGGCAACTTTTTGTCAAAAATCAACATAAATAACATCGACATACAGATTCCGAAACGTGGTAGATCTGATTCCTTGTTGGATGAAGCTGGACAGGTAAGTTTGGTTTCTTTTTTTCTTCAATTTGTTGGAAATATGGCAACATTGTCTATGCTACCCAAAAAAAACAGTTAAACCAATATAGGTATATACAATTTATTACAAGAGCTTACATTTACGTTGTTACTTTCTTTCCTATCACATCTTGCACTCTTTTGTTTTTAGCCTAAAATCATGTTTTACTTTTTTATTATTTATATTTAGTTTGTCTTTGTTGATGGCCAGCGTTGACAATTATAATACAAATGGTGCGCCTAAATCTTAGTGCCATCTGTAAATCATTATAGACCTCCTTTTGTATTAGGTTAATGATGAAAATACGTTGTACTATTTTTTTTTAATTTATGGATTTTTTTTTCTATTTTTAGAGGTTTAGACAGATCGTGTCTCTAGCGGTGCCTACTGGTATGTCAGCGAAAGCGAGCGGCAAAGCGCTAACCATTTTTGTTGTCAATGAAAATCCAGACATTAAAGGTAAGAAGATAACTATCAATAAACTATTAATCGATTGTAAATAACATCTAAACTCGCTTTAAAAATAGTCTTTTTCTCATACGATTTAAAAAAAAAAACAGAGAAACATGTTCTTGTACAGACGACAGTTGAAATTCACATTTATAAAGAATTCTTGTCCAACCAGTATTTTAACTTTGAAGCTATTGATATAAATGAAAAAACATTAACTAGGAGTAAGTCGCGTATTTAATATTCATAGTTGTAGGTTATCATACGTCATTGGAACGGCCTTGCATTTTGCTATGCGGATACGGCTATGAAGGAACCATTTCGAACACAAGTTGCAAAATGTAACAATAAAAACGAAATTAAAAATCAACACACTGTTGTACTCAAATTAAAAACGTAACTAATAAATAAATTTTCAAGCAATATTAAACTTTCTGTCCATAGAAATATAATCTAAAATCATGTAACACTGATTGTATTTATGACACAGGTCAGTGACTTGAATTCGATAGATATGTTGATGACTCAATCAATGTAAAGAATGTTTCACACAATTCTATTGCCATTTTATTTGTATTTTTTTAAATTCTTTTGTCAAAATTTCTATAGTGGAGTTATTTTGTAAGATTATCAAGACGTCGGCAATACATTAGTAATTTTGTATGGTAAGTCTAATATAAGAAGGCTAAAAACTTAAGAATTATTTATTTATTTTAATAGAAATCTTTTTTAGTCTTAGTTTAAGAAAATGCGTTTTTTTTTTATTTTTCCCCACTTACGATGTATTTCAGAATTATTTTTTTGGTATATTTGTAGAATTTTCCCTGGATATGGACGAAGGTTACACACTGCGTATCTCGTCGATGTCCAACGAGCGTGTGAACGCCACTATAACTGGCAACACTTTCTTCGGCGTACGACACGGACTGGAGACATTGTCACAACTCATTGTTTACGATGATATTCGTGATCATTTATTGGTAAGAATATTTATTTTAATTGTACCAAATTTATATGAAATTTTAACAAACGACCGCAAGTTTAACGCTAGAATTCATTCTCTCTTACAATTACAACAAAATTTCTAATGGAAATATGTAATACTAGTTTCGTCTGCGACTCCGTCCGCGTGGAATTGAAAAAAACAAAAGTGAATTTATCTAAAATATATCTAAACCTTCGCATTTATAATATTAGTATGATAGGTTTTGCCCGCGACGTCATCCGAGTAGAATTAAAAAAAAACAAAAGAAAATGGCCTACGTGTTCTTTCAGACTATGCTCTACATCACATTTACATTTATGACAAATTTCATCGAAATTCGTTGAACCGTTTAGCCTCTGACAAATATCCATCCATATAAACTTTCGCATTTATAATATTATTAAGATTGCAGCCTTCTATAGTTACTTTTATTCGTTCATAGCTGTTCCCATGCGACTTCATCCGCATGGAATTATAAAAAAAATATTTTATTGTTTACATTTGTCAAATTACAAATGGCAAAATGACATGACATGACAACCTTGCTTACTTGATCTTGGCAGCAGCTTATGGTCTCTTTCCCACATTAGGGTTTTTATCCAAAATATTTACCCCCTAAGTTTGTAGCGTGAAAATATCTAGCCTAAATCGTGACGTAAGTGTAAGGCTTTTTATTAAAGAAAGAATTATACAAAAATATGCTGTAAATGCTGACATCTTAGGCAACAAAGAAGTGTGTTTACGCTTTATTATAATAGTATAGATAAATGTAGGCGTTTAAGCAATCCTATACAGGTAATTAAATAAGGTGTTGCACGTTTTAATTACTAGGTTAAAGCCATATTATAGAATAGATCGTGCTATTTCTATTTACGGTTTGAAACTGGATCACGTACCTCAGTGGGGCTTCTTAATGAATTATTAGACGCCCGCACTCGTGGGCGGTGTGGCCTTAATATTTCAGTGTGAACGCTGCATAAGGTGTAATAAGATTGACAAGCTATCAGTGTTTTCGCGGACATTTACCAATGTCAGGACAATAGACACTGCCTTACTATAATAAACCGAGTATAAGCAAAATTTGTACTAATCTTAGCTTATACCCAATTCCTAAGTTTAACTTTATACCGCGTTTATTTGTAAGGCTGTATTTGTTTGTATTAGGTGACTACTGGTTTTGATTTTTTATTTTATTTTTAAAGACCTACACTTAGTTGCATATCGACGTAATAAAATATATCGTGTTCTTTTCTTGTATAATACTTCTCAAAAATTGTTTATAAACCGGTTGTTCTGTATCCTTTAATATTTAGCTATATCAAAATAACTTTATTTAGATATAGTTCGTTAACAATATCGATGAGCAAAAAACCGACCGGTTAGGGTTCGTTGACACTTTTATTTGGTCGTGTTTTGCGTTCAATTTGCATAAGCAACAAAATCCTATATGCAAATTGGTCGCTTTGACATTTTATTGTGATTGACAAAAAAAAGGTTCGGCGGGATTACAAATTGGCATTTTCGATTTGACATGAGAATATACGGGATGTTTAATTCATGTATTAACAGTGTTTTACGTTCTAGATTACTTATAGTTTAAGTCACCACTTAACGACTTTGAGAGCTGCGTTAAGAGATATCGGTTGTTATACTTATTTATTTATACTTGAATTTCTTTATATATGGCATATTTATCAGATTACTTTTGGTGTTATCAATATCTCAACAAAATATATGAACGATGCTACTTTCAACATTTCTATCGGAATTTGATTCAAATTCGAAACTTCACGGTTTTAATGCGAAAACAATGGGTTAAGAAAAATAATGCTCTATTCATTACATTATAACATAGAAAGGTGTTTATTAAATATGTCGAATTCTTAAGATTATGCAACACTTATGTATGTTTGTCATCTATACTGATATAAAAATGAAAGATTTGTATTTTTGTATGTATTAAAATAACTCAAAATCTACTGAGCCGATTTCAAAAACTCTCACCATTAAAAGTTACGTTATCGTTAAGTAAAAAATTTTTGAATTTCACGTGGACAACATTGCGAGCTAGTTGCAAATATAAACAAAAGCAAGGTTTTAAACTAGAAAAATGTATATTTAAAGTATATTATGTAATTTCAGATCGTAAGAGATGTGTTCATCACAGACAAACCGACGTACCCTTACCGCGGGATCCTGCTCGACACCGCGAGGAATTATATCGACGTTGACGTTATCAAATCTACTATTGGTAAGATTTACATTTATATCCACTAAAACATATAAAAGGACAAAAACAAAAAAAACTTAAAGGCCATTTACCTTTTCTTTTTTGAATAAACGAATTTCTTTCTTTCTTTTCCCTTCTAGAATCTACAAAGTGCATTCCTTGACACGAACATTGATCTATGGACGTTCATTTACTTTTGAAAATAATTATGTATAACTATGCTTACCAAATGTTCCCTAAGGGAATTATTCAGTAAAGATTTACTGTTAAATGTCAGTTAAGTTTTTTAGATTTCACCAGCGATAGAACTAGACTAGATTTAGGCTGGGGGACCGAATATTTATACAGTCGTATTCGAACTTTTTATAGCTATTATAAATTTCTTTATAATGCCCATGATGGAATATCATATATCAACGATTTTCAATCATATCTCTAATAAGTAAGTCAATGTTCTAGATGCTTCTGCGACGGTGAAACTGAACGCCTTCCACTGGCACATTACTGACAGCCATAGCTTCCCCTTCGTGATGGAGAGCAGGCCCAGCTTCAGCAAACTTGGAGCGTACAGCCCTAGCAAGGTCAGGGATATACTTAGCAACGTTTTTTTTATAATATAAGGTGGCAAATGAGCTAGCGGTCACCTGAATCCTCCGAAATGAAAAGCGACCGCTGCATAAACATCCGCAATTGCAGATGCGTTGCCTACCCTTTATTGACGGAGGAGACGCACA